TAAATTTACTCTTGCTGCTCCTGTTTGCATGTTCTTCAGGCCCATTGCTGAGATAGAGGAGTCAGGACCACATGATTGATGGTCATCCAGAAATTACATACTGTGGATGACAGGCCATTTCTAAAAGAATGGCCGAAGGAGAGACACATAGTAGACAGCCTCTGCATGACATTGGTAAGAAGAAGCAAAGATGAACGAAGACAGATGTGCCATCAGCACAAATACAAAGCACTGGGATTATTGGCCGTTATCATGATGTATGAGAAAATCAGCGTGGCAGAAGCTGTGAAAATAACTGTACAGAACATGATCAATTCCGTGGGACATGATGACAGAGACTTAGCGTTCTTAAGAATTCTGAAAGGTGCTGCAGAGGATATGTGGGATTCAGAGCACACAGCAGGGGCTGGGGTAGGGAGGGCGAGTAGGAAGAAGGGAGGAATATGACGTTCGCTGTAGTGCAACCCAAGCGTGGACCTTGCTGCTATGTCCAGGAGGCTTTGGAATGGAAGACGCTGGGGAGATAAAAGCCACTCAGTGTGTAGAAAATTAGCAGGGGTACGTGAGGAAGAAGAGGAATGCATGACAACGGGTGATGATGTGAAGAAGAAAAAAGTAACGCTCATCCGAACACATGCAGTGGAGGACACTGGACAGGCACCTCGACTCCCCGGGAGAAAGTGGCTGTTAACCTCAGAGACAGGACGTTGAGCTGAGGTGTCTCGTTCGAGACGGATCCGTTCCCATCCATCCGTATGGGTGCGAGTGTGATGGGGAAGACGGGCAGACACCTTTAGGAATCCTATGGGAAGCTGGGAACCGGGTGGAGGGAGAAGAAACAGATCTTCTGCATATGGATCTGGGAAGGAACCGTAAATGCAACAGAGTACCCAAACAGCAAGTCTCACTTCCCGAATACAGACATCCCGCGGTGAGAGAAAGCTGGAGATAAGGATGAGTTGACCGCACCTAATAAAACCCAAAGAGATGAAAATAAATAAGGAAGAGGACCCCTTCCATCACCTATGATTGGCAGTTAGTGCATTGCGGTAGATTTCATCTATGCGTTATTCAGATGTTCCTTTTTTTTTTTTTTTAATTTTTTTTTAACATTTATTTATTTTTGAGACAGAGAGAGACAGAGCATGAACAGGGGAGGGGCAGAGAGAGAGGGGGACACAGAATCCGAAACAGGCTCCAGGCTCCGAGCTGTCAGCAGAGAGCCCGACGCGGGGCTCGAACCCACGGACTGCGAGATCATGACCTGAGCCGAAGTCGGACGCTCAACCAACCGAGCCACCCAGGCGCCCCAGATGTTCCTTTTTTTTAATATAATTTATTGCCAAGGTGACTAACATACAATGTGTATAGTGTGCTCTTGGTTTTGGGGGTAGATTCCCTTGATTCATCACTTACATACAACACCCAGGGCTCCTCCCAACAAGCGCCCTCCTCAAGGCCCATACCCCATTTACCCCTCTCCCCCACTGCCTCCATCAGCCATCAGTTTGTTCTCTGTATTTAAGAGTCTCTTACGGTTTGCCTCCTTCCCTCTCTGTAACTATTCTTCCCCTTCCCCTCCCCCATGGTCTTCTGTTAAGTTTCTCAGGTTCCACATATGAGTGAAAATACGATATCTGTCTTTCTCTGACTGACTTATTCCACTCAGCATAATACCTTCTGGTTCCATCCATATTGCTGCAAATGGCAGGATTTCATTCTTTCTCATTGCCAAGTAGTATTCCATTGTATATAAAAACCACATCTTTTTTTTAATGTTTATTTATTCCTGAGAGAGAGAGAGTGTGTGTGTGAGTGGGTGAGGGACAGAGAGAGGGAGACACAGAATCCGAAGCAGGCTCCAGGCTCAGAGCTGTCAGCACAGAGCCCGACACAGGGCTTGAACCCACGAACTGTGAGATCATGACCTGAGCCGAAGTCAGGTGCCTAACCGACTGAGCCACCCAGGTGCCCCAAACCACATCTTCCTTATCCATTCATCAACTGATGGACATTTAGGCCCGTTCCATAATTTGGCTATTGTTGAAAGCACTGCTATAAACATTGGGGTACACGTGCCCCTATGCATCAGCACTCCTGTATCTTTCAGATAAATTCCTAGTAGTGTTATTGCTGGGTATTCAGGAGTTCTTAAACTCTTCTTCTCTGTAATAGAACAATACACTAGAACATTTAGACTATTAAAAATTTTTTTTTACAATTTCAAATAGTCCTGAATACATGTGTATATGTGTATGAATGTAAGTGCATGTAAAATTGTATGTGTATGCTTTTGTATGCCCAACCATTTATGTATTTTATGTGTAAGTACACACACACACACACACACACACACACACAAATACATACATGCTACACGTACACGCTGTCAGCTTCCGGAATCTTGGAATTTGTGCATTATTTGGACACATGCTGCTAAATTACCTTTCGGATTGTTGACCAGTTTACCCTACAGCCAAGACCTGAAATTATTTCCTTCACACTGTCGTCAATACTCCATGCATCAAATCACTTATATTTTGCCTCGTAGGTGACAAATGGTATCTCATTGATCTTTAAATGCACATTAATTCCACTTGAAAGAGGTTCATCAAGAGTTTCAGCTAGTCAGGCCAGGTGTATGCAGCATTGGGACAGGCTGGTGGGAAGCAAACATCCCAGTGAAACACAGAGGTGGTGGGCTCGAGATTGTCTGGGTATGAATGAATCTCTGCTCCCCTCCTCCGTCACTCATTAGCTTGATTCTCGGACAAATAACTCTCTGTGTCTCAGTTTCTCGTAAAATGTGATTATTTTAAAGATGAAGCGAGATGAAAACATGGCAATTTGCACGTGTACCACAGAGGAAGTATCCAATATATGTTCTGTTTTAATCACTATTATTGCACTAAATTGAGCTTTGAGCATCCTGAAAGCAAAGTGAGCTCATTGTTCGTAAGAAGAAGAGTAAAGTGACACTAGACACTACCCTTGTGTAGCACGTTCTGTGTGCCACGCTCTGCACTAAGTACTTTCTTTGCACGTATTAAAATATTTTGATGAGAAACAAAATTTCTTTGACCACTTACTATGGAATTCTGTGTTAAATTTCTCAATGGTTTATTGCATTATACAGAATGTTTCATTCCTATTTTTCAGTGAGGAAACTGGCACTAAAAAAAGTTAAGAAACAGGGGCGCCTGGGTGGCTCAGTAGGTTAAGTGTCCGACTTCGGCTCAGGTCACGTTCTCGTGGTTCATGAGTTCAAGCCCCATGTCGGGCTCTGTGCTGACAGCTCAGAGCGTGGAGCCTGCTTCCAGTTCTGTGTTCTCCCTCTCTCTGCCCCTCCCCTGCTCATGCTCTCTCTTTCTCTCTCAAAAATAAATAAACATTAAAAAAATTTTTTTTAAGTTAAGAAATACCCAAGATCCCACCACCAGAAAGTAGTTGAACCGAGATTTGAACCTACGCCTTTGGGACTACAAGGTCTTCCTGCTACAGGCTGAGGCCGCCCCAAGAGACTACATGTCATTCTGACTGCTCTCCATTGAAAGACTCTGACTTGCAGTGTCTAAAGGCCTGAGTCAGGACTCTTACCGTGTGACGTGTGCACATCTTTATATGTAAGAGTTTACAGTTGAACACTTCTTCTTAAGTTTATTTTTGAGAGAGAGAGAGAGCATGCAAGAGAGTGAGGGAGGGGCAGGGAGAGAGAGAGAGAGAGAGATTGAGAGAGGGAGAGAGAGAGACAATCCCAAGCATGCTCTGTGCTCTCTCCACTCAGAGCCTGATGCAGGGCTCGAATCCACAAACCGTGAAATCATGACCTGAGCCGAAACCAAGAGTCAGACGCTTAACCGACCGAGCCACGCAGGTGCCCCCGGTTGAACGCTTTTTAAATCAAGAGCCTAAACACAACAGAAGTGTTCCCAGTAGTATTTTGCTGTGATCAGCAAACACTGAATTCATAGAATGACACCCACTGAGGAATGATGGACTGAGTCAGGTCCACAGTGGCTGGTGACGTGAGCATCCGTAGGCCTCACGACCCCAGAGGCTCCGAGAGGATGGGGCAGGTCTCCCCCAAGGTTTCCCGTGACAGCACGGGGGTCTTCCTGGTGACGCATCAATTGTAATGATTCTTAGTCATTTCTAGATCTTGGTGACAAGTGTCCAAAAGAACTAATTGCAATTTTGCAACTATTTGTACACAAATGTGCATGCGTGGTGCTACAATACTTTTTCATCGCTGAATTTAAAATAGCTACGAATACTGGAAATATCCAAAACCAGTTTGGGCAGTTCCGAATATTCCGGTAAAGATCCTGCCTATTATCAAGCACATGGCAGCTGCCTTCCGTACTGTTACCAACCACTACACGGATCCAGTACGCTATTTCCTATCTGTGTCTTGAAGAGGGGATACAGTGTGAGGTCATTTACACTTATCTCGTCCCTTGCTCCGGGTTGACGTTGCTCAGGCTGGTGAGGCTTCAGTGCTCGGCACCTCTTTAACACTGCTTACGTCCGCAGCTCGGGATAGGTAAGTGCCCAGGTGGAGAAAATTCAGATGAGGGACATCAGGGTCTGGAGTAGCATGATGATAAAGCTATGCTAGATAAGTATCACAGGAGCATCTAATATTCTCCCCCTTCTCTTTAAGAGAAGGAAGATTTTGTTGGATAACAGCATTACGTGCGAGTGTAGGTGGCAGACTCTTAAAAGTAAGGACAGTGTGGAGAGAAAGAACAATGTTCCGTGCATGCCTCCAGCTAACGGTGCTCAAACAAATCAACGCCTACCTGCTCTAGACTCCTCACCTTTAAAAATAAGAGGAAGGGCTTGGTGTCTCTAGCCTGCCTGAGGGTCAGCATCCTGTAAGAGGTCTCCATGTCTTTTAAAGTGTTCAGTCGATGCAAAGAACCAATCAAACGAAGGCAGACATTTTCCTAACCGGGTCTTTTCTCTCTTATCTCCCCAGACTATGTCAGAGAATCACAATGACCTTGCACAATAACAGTACAACCTCGCCTTTGTTTCCAAACATCAGCTCCCCCTGGGTACACGGCCCCTCGGATGCAGGGCTGCCCCCAGGAACGGCCACCCACTTTGGCAGCTACAACATTTCTCGAGCAGCTGGGAACTTCTCCTCTCCCAATGGCACCACCAATGACCCTCTGGGAGGTCACACCATCTGGCAAGTGGTCTTCATCGCCTTCTTGACGGGCGTGCTGGCCTTAGTGACCATCATCGGCAACATCCTGGTGATAGTGGCCTTTAAGGTCAACAAGCAGCTAAAGACCGTCAATAACTACTTCCTCTTAAGTCTGGCCTGTGCTGATCTGATTATTGGGGTCATTTCAATGAATCTGTTTACTACCTACATCATCATGAACCGATGGGCTTTAGGGAACTTGGCCTGTGACCTCTGGCTCTCCATCGACTACGTGGCCAGCAACGCCTCGGTCATGAATCTTCTGGTCATCAGCTTCGACAGGTACTTTTCCATCACGCGGCCACTCACATACCGAGCCAAACGAACCACAAAAAGAGCCGGCGTGATGATAGGTCTGGCTTGGGTCATCTCCTTCATCCTTTGGGCCCCCGCCATCTTGTTCTGGCAGTACTTTGTTGGGAAGAGAACTGTGCCCCCAGGGGAGTGCTTCATTCAGTTCCTCAGCGAGCCCACCATCACCTTCGGCACGGCCATCGCTGCCTTCTACATGCCTGTCACCATCATGACTATTTTATACTGGAGGATCTACAAGGAAACTGAAAAACGCACCAAAGAGCTCGCCGGCCTGCAAGCCTCGGGGACAGAAGCAGAGGCGGAAAACTTTGTCCACCCCACAGGCAGCTCTCGAAGCTGCAGCAGCTATGAGCTTCAACAGCAAAGTATGAAACGCTCGGCCAGGAGGAAGTACGGACGCTGTCACTTCTGGTTCGCCACCAAGAGTTGGAAGCCCAGTGCCGAGCAGATGGACGCAGACCACAGCAGTAGCGACAGCTGGAACAACAACGACGCTGCTGCCTCCCTGGAAAACTCAGCCTCCTCCGACGAGGAGGACATCGGCTCCGAGACGAGGGCCATCTACTCCATCGTGCTCAAGCTTCCCGGCCACAGCACCATCCTCAACTCCACCAAATTACCCTCATCGGACAACCTGCGGGTGCCTGACGAGGAGCTGGGGGCGCCGGACTTGGAGAGGAAGGCCAGCAAACTGCAGACCCAGAAGAGCGTGGACGATGGAGGCAGTTTCCAGAAAAGCTTCTCCAAGCTTCCCGTCCAGTTAGAGTCAGCCGTGGACACAGCCAAGACCTCTGAGGCCGACTCCTCAGTGGGTAAGGCCACGGCCACCCTCCCCCTGTCCTTCAAGGAAGCCACTCTGGCCAAGAGGTTTGCTCTGAAGACCAGAAGTCAGATCACCAAGCGGAAGCGGATGTCCCTCATCAAGGAGAAGAAGGCGGCCCAGACCCTCAGCGCCATCTTGCTTGCCTTCATCATCACCTGGACCCCCTACAATATTATGGTTCTGGTGAACACCTTTTGTGACAGCTGCATCCCCAAAACCTATTGGAATCTGGGCTACTGGCTGTGCTATATCAACAGCACCGTGAACCCCGTGTGCTATGCCCTGTGCAACAAAACATTCAGAACCACTTTCAAGATGCTGCTCTTGTGCCAGTGCGACAAACGCAAGAGGCGCAGGCAGCAGTATCAGCAGAGACAGTCAGTGATCTTCCACAAGCGCGTGCCCGAGCAGGCCTCGTAGAGTGGGGTCTTACCGATCGCGGTGACCAAACGCACGCACGTCGGCCCACAGACCTTAGCAGGGAATGAGGCGAGGGCGGGGGCGATTTCTGGGCGTGATGAATATGGTTTTTATCACCCAGATATGGAAGGAGCTGCCTGTTCACTGACCCATTGAATAAATCCATTTTAATAGAGAAAGTCAAATACCAATTCAGCAAAAAAAAAAAAAAAAAAAAAAAAAAAAAAAAAAAAAAAAGCGTATTACCGAATATAAAGAGATTTATTCTTAAATAGACTTCAAGTGTTTTTTTCTTAAAGAAAGGAAAAAAAAAAATGTTTCGTAGCAATTACATACCCAAATTGATCTGCTTGGTTCTTGTAATTCCCAATAGCGCTGGCATCTCAGATGAGCGTAACTAGCCGACACACTTGGCCACGTCCTTTCTAAGGATTCCACGTGGAACACGTCAGGCTAGTGACCCCGTGGTTCTGAAATTACGTCATGCAAAGCTGAACCTTCTTGTCCCAATAGAGCTTCCGTCTTCTCTGGTGTGTTGTTAAACTCTATTTGTGGACTTGATTCTTGCCAAGTACTCTTTTGTGCAGTTCCAGTCTCGTACAAAATAAAAATATAGACGTATATATATATGTGTGTGTGTGTGTGAGGGAGAGAGAGAGAGAGAGAGAGACTTCTGCACACACACACATAGTGTATATAATAGAGTGGGAATCGCTGAGCTGGCAAATTATTCCTGCAATATGTTTTCAGTACTTTGGTAACTGAAGTTTTCTAGGATCCTAACACAACATAAAAGTGAAATAAACCCAGTGTAATGTTTTGGAAACCAGGGCTTTTTGTCCACAAACCACCCTGGGGAATATTCAGCAGAGAGGCCAGCCCCTGAGAGTCAGGTCCTACGCGGCCACGGCTTGCCCAGACTCGTGAGCATAAGCCTCGTCCTTTGCTGGTGTTCCCTACAGAGCTCAACCCAACCGGGGCCCCTCTGAGCTCAAAACACGAACCACATGCACATTGTTTGAATTCAGTCATTCAAATCTGAATGTTTCCAAACGAAATGTCTGCTATCCAAACTGCTTGAAACTCAGTACTAGTGTCACGCTTGAATGTCACACACAGCAATATAGATGGCAAAGCAAAAAGGGACACTGTGGGGGGGTGGGGGGTGTGCATGAGAGGGGAGGAGAGCGTGGGATTGGATTTCTTGCTACCTGGCACCTTCCAAACAAAAAAGGGCTCACACCTGTGTTAATGGCAGTGGCTGCGCTTTCTGGTCTGTCGGTGACTCCAGTCAGCCGGTGGGGTTTAGGAACTCACGTGTCCTAAGTATCGCTTCCAATTGATCTCCTTACATTTCGCGACAACGATTTTTGTATCTCCTTTGAATTGATCCAAAAGCTTAAATGTTGTATTTGGCGGGGAGGGGAGGGCTGCTACCGTTGCTGTTGTTTTCGTCGCTGCTGTAATTGTCGGGGCTCCTTCTCCTTCCTTTTGCCGGGGCCATGTGGGGAGCGGGGGGGGGGGGGTACTGAGGAGAAACCTCACCTTGTACAGGGCATCCGTGTCGTGGACCCGGAGCCAGAACAGAAGCTGCTTGTGTTCAGTGTAAGCTGGTGTTTACGAGCAACATCAGCGGACGTGGACTCAGTGGTGTGCGTGTTGCTGAACTATTTAATTTCGTGTTACGTTTCTATGAAGAAATATTTATGCATATTTCACCACCCGTCTATTTAATGTTGATAAATATTACTCTTCAGTCTTCAGCCGTGGTGTCCCTTGCCAGAGACTGTTTAAGGTCCTCTAGAGCGACACGTGCAGGGAACTGGGCTTTCATGAGGCCGGGAAGAAGAAGACAGCCATCCCATTGGCGTCAGCAAGTACCTAACTCCTGGGCAATCAAAAGCCAACTGTAACGTTAACGTCAGTGTGGAAAACCACTCTTTACTTGATACCTGATGGACCCTGAACGGAGCAAATTTGAAGTCACATGACAAGGGATAAAAAGCAGATCAGTGTCATTGAAAGAATGATGGTTTTTGTTTTGTTTTGACCCACATTCAACCAAAGAACAAGAAAAACCAGAGACCATTTTCTAACATATAGAACAGACTACAGAATGTTCTGTGATCCACCTGTGAAATGTCTAGTGAGCAACCACATCCATATTTTACTTCTCCCATTGGCCTGGCACTAATAATAAATGCGTGAATGCAGATTCGAGCGTCCCAGGACTTCAATCATTCTGAATCTTTTTGATATCCTGCCTTTTTCCCAAAGGGCTGTTAGCCTGTTTTTCAAACAAAATTAGAGACGATTAGATTTTGAGAAATGGAGAAACCCCCGAGCTTTGGCCAAGCTGCGAAAGTCACTAACGGTTCTTCTTGAACATGATTCTCTCCTTGCCTTTCTCTAACACTGATAATGGCAGAAAGGAATCAAATCCAACACTCTAGCTCCCCTTTACAATTTTTAAATCTCTTATGGGTGAAAGCTGTTTTTCAGTGCTATCTGTGGACTGTGTTTATAGAAAGGTATGGCCAACTCTTAGGTTGTTTCCAGAGAAGGAAAATTCTACTCTCTCGAATACGGGGAATCAGGATATGTAGTCAAAGCTGTAGGAGTGGATTTTTTTTTAATATTTATTTATTTTTGAGAGAGAGAGAGAGAGCATGAGCATGGGAGGGGCAGAGAGAGGGAGACACAGAATCTGAAGGAGGCTCCAGGCTCTGAACTATCAGCACAGAGCCTGACACAGGGCTTGAAGCTACGAACTGTGAGATCATGACCTCAGACGCTCAACCGACTGAGCCACCCAGGTGCCCCGTAAGAATGTTTCTAACAGGACAGGGCTACACGTGCAGCTCTCCAAAGGTACGTCATGAGAGGAGGGGTTCAGCATTTCCATAAGATCAAAGTGTCTTTATCCTCAAACCATTTTATTCCACAGAAGTGAGGTTTGCAGAGAGCTTTCACGATTATTCGCTTTAATTGAAAGAGCAAAATAATTAAGCCTAGAATAAACCACACATGAAGAACACCCCCCGACACACACACACACACGCATATACATACACATATATACATATGCACACATACATGCACACACATATACATGTACATGCATATACACATATATACACACACATACATATACACAAGCACATATACACACATACACACACACCTATTCTATTCTCTGTTCTCCAGGCCTTACCAGATGAATAAGAGAACTGACCTATCCAGTCCCCTATTTCCCTTGGCTCTCTTATCTTCAGCCCATGACCCACCTGAAGTCTCTCTGCTGGTTCTCCTTCGAATCCTGCATCATCCTTGCCAGAAATCCATCCTTGACTCTAAATATGTCCCACTTCTGTTCACTCTTTCACATGTAATAGTTCTCCACTCTGACAGAGAAAACAAAGAGGAAAGCGGAAGCATTAGAAGATTCCGTGGGTAAAGATCCAGAAGCATATCCACTTTGTCAAGCACCCTTGTCGCACATGGGCAAGTTCACTGCTCTGGAGAGGGAGGAGAGCCCCTGGGCATCAACTGAGAGAAGTGGGAGGGCAGAGTCAGGCAGAGGGCTGCCTCAGGTGCACCTCAGGACGGAAGAAGAATGCCAGGGCTCAGGCAGGCTGGAGGAGCCTGATCTGGACTCCACGAAATAGGGGGAGCGCCCGGGGGTTACCCTGGGTGTCCTATAGTGACCTGAGCAGAGATGATTCCCACCCAGATGGGGACATATCACTGAGAACAGTCTGTCACCAGCAGCTCCAGGGGGCAAAGGAAGGTAGCACAAAGAAACACTAAACCAGCATGGGGGGGCAGGGGGAGCTCCTGGCTCAGTTTTGTCACCACAGACTTACATGTCCCCTGCCATGCATGTCACTTAGACTGTCTGCGTCATCTCCATAAGCTCATACTAATTAATTAATCGCAAACAGATCAAAACTGAGGCCTGGTGGGAGGTAAGCGAGAACAGCGGGGAGTGTGAAATGGTGTATCTGATGAACGCTTGAAAACCTTATATCCGTCAGTTATTTCCTTACATTTCAAAACAGCAGAATCTAAGGAACTCACACTTTGTGGGTGAACCTGAAATTGGACTGTTTGAAATACCACTCCAGTCAGGGACCCCCGCCTGCGGCCCAACAGCCTTGCAAATAGAGCTGCTGGGGAGCAGGTGTTTGGGGGTTCACAACGGCGGTCCTCCTCTTAAAGGGACCAAAACTCTGCAGAGTACAGCACCTAAAACAGTAATCCTTTCTTCACCCCGCCTCCCACGTCCTCCTCTAAAAGCGCACTTTTCCCCAAGTGAAATGTGCAGCGAGCTTGGTTCAACAGTGAACAATCCAGCCCACACTTCAGGTTCAAGGAAAATTGCACGGCTTCCCCCTGCAGATTTAAGCCGCGTGCTCTCTCTCCTTGTGTCTTCATGACTGTGTTTTGTAGATCTCAGCCTGGATTCACGCTACGTGAGTAAATATTCCAGACGTAACAGTCTGGTTCTGGGGATGGTAACCCAGGGCTCTCTAGAACTAGAGACTTCCATTGTATTTTTCTGGCTTTAGATTACTGCCTGAGAAAGGAGGCTGTTGAGGGAGTGAACATGGACAGGGACAAGTTAATAAAGCGACTCTACTCGGCCGAAGTTCGCACCTGCAAGCACAACATTGTATTGACTGGCTCGGAAACAGACAGGTGCTACAAACCTTACTTGGACATATGTTACATTCACAGCCTCACACACACAAGGACAGACAGTAGGCTTGGAGACATGTACAAGTGGACACCAAATGCTTGAGTAGAACCAAGGCTTCAGAACATTAGGTCTGTGGTGGTCACAGCAGAACCACAGAGACTCAGCACTGAGTTCTGACCCTCCTACCCTGGCCTGGGCTGGGACCTGAGACCCGAGGTGGCTCCCCTCTGAGCCACAGGAGACGTCCCACATAAAAGGCAAATGGGAAACGAGGCCATAGCCTCCATGAAAGAGAAAT